TGTTGCCTAGAAAGAACCATAGAGCAGTGGTCACAAATTTAATCTCACATTAAAAATGCTGATTTCCAGCCCTATTCAAGACCACCTGAACCAGAATCTTTAGGGGTGGGCCTTGGGAATTTGAAAACTTTAAAGCCCTCCTCCTGGTGGTGCTGATGTGCAGTTGGTATGAGAACTACTGTTTTGGAGGTGGTCTGGCTTTGTCCTTGAATTTCTACAAAGTATCAGTGCCTAAGGAGATGACATCAGGGTCACTGTTAATTTACAGTGTAGCTTCTTATTTAAAATTTAAATTGGGTTTCCTCAAGCTCTCTTCATAAACTGCCTAGTCTGGATTTTCTCTTAAGTAAGTAAATCTTTTCTGTCTCTTCAACAGATGTTCAAGCAAATGCTTTCAGAAAAGCAAACCAAATGGGAGCATTACAAGAAAGAGGGTTCGGAGCGGATGACTGAGCTTGCTGATGTCTTTTCGGGAGTGAAACCCCTGACCAGAGTGGAGAAAAATGGTAATTGCTGAAGAGGAAATACTGGTGTGTTTGAAATGTATGCACAGGTTATTTGAAACCTTGGAAACTGGCAGGTTCAAAAGGCTTTATGTTCTCATTATTGCATCCTATGATATTCCCTCTTTAGTGTTGCTAATAAAGATCTGAAGGTTAGTTTTGGCTGCGTCTAGCTTTCTGCTCTCTTGGGCAATGTTCATATCCTTTCTAGAGTTCAGGTTTTGTATCTTATCTTTGAAATGTGAGGTTAGGCTAAACCAGGGGTTTTGGTAACTCCAGTTCATAGACAAGGGTTTAGAGAGTCACAGCTGGCCTTCACCTCCATGGTATGCAGAACTAATGTGTCAGTTTATGTGATTTGGGGAAAGCGGGGAAAGGATCTATAACTCTCATGATCTTCTCAAGAAGGATACATCATCCAAGAATGTTAGTAATCTACCAGCATAGATGATAGCTAAAATTCTTCTGGTCTCGCTTGATTCTTGTTCACCAATGCACCTGGTATCTAGTGGCAGAAGAAGGTACTGCAGACTAGTTTTGAAAAAACACAAACTCAGATTTTACTTTAATGATTTTGATCCTACTTCTTCTAGGAAATTTTATTTATAGGAAAGTTCTGGCACCATTTCAAATTTTTATAAATAAGAAATTTCTAACTGCTCCCAAAAAACCATTCTGAATTTTATGGCGACAATTTTTTTAATGGTTAATTTTGTTTTAACTATCCGATCGATTTCTGATGAAGTTAATTTTACTGTAGAATTGCTTAGTAGTGTAGCTTCTTATTTAAAAACTATTATTTTTAATCAGTATGAGCTTGTGATTACTGTATTTTGGCTTTTGTTTATTTCTTTGATGCTGAGTGGTTGGGCAAAAATATATTTCCAAATTGTATTATTGTTCCTATAGGGAAAAGTCAGCCAACATATAATGATGTGATATAAACTAGAAACATGTTTTGCAGGTCACCCTATTGTTATATGAAACCTGAAGTCTAGAATGAATATTATGGTTATCATATTGTGATCTGCAAAACAATCACGTGTAACAATCTGACCCCATTAGCTGTCTAGAATCAGTGCATTAATCTCTGTGATAATTTCTTTTAGGCCCTTAAAAATGCCAACTTTGTTTCAGAGGTGAAATAACAATTTTACATTTTTTTTCCGGCTGTATAGTTTATTACAGCTTAGGACATACTTTCATAATTTTTTCTTACCTTACAACCCTGTAGGATACACATCTTAATCCTTATTTCATATATATAAGGAAACTGAGGCTTAAGCATGGAATCATTTGCTGAAGGTACAAAGGTGAAGAGCCTGGGTCTTGCTCATCTCAGACCCCAAATTTCATGCTTTCAGACTCCATCGCTGCCCCTCAGCCCTAAAAAAATCTTCAAAATTATGAGTGTTCGTCGTGCTAATTCTTGAAATCACTTAGATCATAAGTAGGTAAGGCCTTTTAATAATGTGGAACCACCCCATTGATAAACAAAAATTTTAGGGGATCAACTTGGTGAGGTAAATAGAGTTTTTGAACTTGGACAGACAATTGTAAGTCCTGGCTCCGCCATTTAGTGTCACCCTGCATAACATTCTCAGTTTCTCTGAGCATCAGCCTCTTTATCTGGGAAATGGCTAACAAATTCCACCTCCCTATATTGCTGTGAAGATTAAATACTTAGAACTTTGCCTGACACACTGAGGGTACTCAGAGCATGTGGACACCCTTCTCTTTCTCTACT